TTGTCAAAACAATCCCTGTTCACACGGATCCATGAAAACGACTAAAAACGCTGTATTATGCATGCCAGGCCAATAGTTGGTGATGTCACTCTGTAAAGAAACACCATGCGCATTTAGATCTTATTAAACTTTTTTTTTATGTTAGTTAAAAAAAAAATCATCACCTGGGACATTAAAGTGGCAGCAGTTGAAGGAACACCCTTCTGTGTTTTATATGGTAAATTGTTTTGTTGTCTTTTTTTCCTTCAGGAAATGATCTTCAGCTGAGTGAATCTGGCAGTGACAGTGACATCGACTGACCTCCTAGCTGATGTTCAGCACTTAAAAACATAGATTGTGTTTCTGTTATGCGCTTTCATAGGTTATATCAGTCTTTTTGCAGTGGTTTCATAGATAATATCAGTGCTTTTGCAGTTTTATCTTGAGCTTTTATGGCTTCATGTTAACATGGAAGTGTTGAAGAATGTGAAATAATTTTAATAGATTTTATTTTTATTGCAAAGGGAAATTTTTGAAGAGGTAAGGCTGTGTAAATCATCATAATTGAGTATTGCACCTTTGGTTGTTCAGTATTTTCATGAAGCTAAAAATCTTCAGTCAACATGTCATGCACTTTTCCCCCGTGTTCAGTGTTACATACACCAACTGAATGCATGATCTTTATTCTGTCTGCTTTTGTCATTGCCTATGAAGTCCAAAATATTTTCTAGAGTTTAGACAACTCAGTGGCAGACAGCATGTACAAATGATTTTTTTTTGTGACATAAGGGTCACAACCCTTCATGTAAAACATTTTCAAATACTTACTGTCAATACTCAGTGTCTAAAAATGATGTGTATGTGGTTATCTGTAAAAGTGTATACTGCTGGTTTACCAAAAATAAATTGTTTTATTGCACTGCACACAAGACTAACGTTGTATATATCATCTGTAATGTAAGATAAAAGTCAAAAACAAACTGTCGGTGTGTCTGAGTGATCATTTAATCATGATTATTAATTATCATTATTATTTACTTCACAAATATCATCACTGCTTTATCTTTTTTTTTTTTTTTTTAAGTAGTATATCGGTCATTGACAAAAAAGGACAGAAAGTCTAACATAAAAAAACGCATCCTGAAGTTACCTCCGTGTAAAAATCTCCTGCTCACGTTGCTTCCTATTGAAATGGTTGGATTTCGCCAACGAAAATTCGCAAAACAATGGTAAATGTGATGGGGCCTAACACGTTGTTGTGTATTTGATTTGAGAGATTGAGATCAATTTGAAATTGAGAGATGAGTGTGGAGTATTTTGTTATAATTCACAACAGGCCAGATGCTGTTGATTGAACTTGTATTAAATTCTTATTCTTATTACTTGTATTAAAGTGCCATTCCCAGTATGGCTACAAACTATATGCTGGACTATATAAATGCTGCACATCATCAGAAGGTAACTTAGTGGAATGACAACATACTGAACCCTGATGCATTGAAAACATGCTGACGAATGGAAGCTCCTCTTGATAATTGCTTTGGATTTAAAGATGGCATTGTGCAACTACAACCCATAGCCAGATCATGTATAACATCCTACATAGGTTATAAATGCACAAATGCTTACATAGTCTAAAATACCTGGCAATAGCCATTCCTAATGGTTTAATGTAACACCTGAATAGGTAATTTTTTTTTTAAAAAGGGAAAGAAGCATGACTCTGGAATGCTACAGTTTCCCCAGTACACTGTATTCTATTCAGAATCAAGGTCAGAAATCAACGGCAGCTTGGGGCAAAAATGCCACCAGAATGAACATGCCCTCTAAATTCAAGATAAGGGCATGTGCAATTGAAATGTGTCACGATTAAACTGAGATGTGAAATAAATTAAAAGTGTAGATTGCGGCATTTATTTTTATTTTTTATTTTTACCATTCACATTACGATGAATATCCAAGACAGTAATGACTTACATGATCCTCCTTTCAACCCGATTGGCAAAGGGCATCTCAGGAACCGCACTCCAGTGGTTTGAGTCTTACCTATCAGTTAGGTCCTTCAAAGTTTCTTGGAGAGGTGAGGTGTCCAAGTTAGGTGTCCTAACTACTGGGGTGCCTCAGGGCTCAGTTCTTGGACCACTTCTCTTCTCTGTCTACATGGCATCATTAGGTTCTGTCATTCAGAAACATGGCTTTTGATACCACTGCTATGCTGATGACACTCAACACTACCTCTCGTTCCATCCTGATGATCCAACAATAGCTGCTCGCATCTCAGCTTGTCTAACAGACATTTCTTGCTGGATGAAGGACCATCACCTTCAACTCAAACTGGCCAAGACAGAACTGCTTGTGGTTACAGCAAACCCATCGTTTCATCACAATTTCACCATCCAGTTAGGCACATCAACCATAACTCCTTCAAAAACAGCCAGAAACCTTGGAGTTATGATTGATGATCAGCTGACTTTCTCAGACCACATTGCTAAAACTGACCGGTCCTGCAGATTTTCTTTATTCAACATCAAGAAGATTAGGCTCTTTCTTTCAGAACATGCTTCACAACTCCTTGTTCAAGTTCTTGTTCTGTCCAGACTGGACTATTGCAATGCTCTCTTGGCAGGTCTTCCAGCCAGTTCTATCAAACCTTTGCAATTAATCCAGAACGCGGCAGCAAGATTGATTTTTAATGAGCCAAAAAGAATGCACGTCACACCTCTCTTTATCAATTTGCACTGGCTACCAGTAGCTGCTCGCATAAAATTCAAGGCATTAATGTTTGCCTACAAAACCACCACTGGCTCTGCACCCCTTTACCTAAATTCATTACTTCAGACCTATGTGCCCTCTAGAAGCTTGCGTTCTGCAAGTGAACGTCCCAAAGAAGCACAAAATCACTTTTACGGACTTTTAAATTAAATGTTCCCTCCTGGCGGAATGACCTGCCCAACTCAGTCCGAGCAGCTGAGTCCTGCTTGTACTAACTGCTTGTTTTCTTAAAAAAAAAACTAACACTTGCTTCTCTTTTTGTATTCTATCTGTTTTCTTTTTATTTATTATATTATTTAAAAAAACCTTGCTACGTGTACTGCGTTAAGCTAACTGAGACTTGTTCTAGCACGTGTATATCATTGCTCTATTGTTGATTTTGATTGCTTCCATTGTCCTCATTTGTAAGTTGCTTTGGATAAAAGCGTCTGCTAATGACTAAATGTAAATGTAAATATCAAAGCATGATAATATAAACATTTCTTGAACAGATATACAAAAAAATATTAATAATAATAATAATAATAAAAATGTACGAGACAAATAACTTAAATGCTTCACATAAAGTCCTACTTCGTTTTGCTTTACTATTTTTCAAATCAAGAAATAACTCAATATAATGTTTAATTTCTACCTTAAATAACAAAAAAAAGGCTTTCCTTTGGCCCATTTCTGTTTATGCATATGGTATTTCCCCATATTCAAACAAAAGTTGACAATAAAAGCCACATTTTGTGATAATCTTTGTCTATCAAAAAAAAAAAAAAGAAAGAAAATAAATAAAACCCTTTCAATTCAATACAAAACATTCTTCTATAAATGCAGTTAAAAAAAGGACAAAAGTACAAAACCTTAGAAAAAGTGCTTTAATAGGATTCACAATGCACTATTCTCACCTTAGATATACAATATTTTTAGGCAACGTCCATGGCATGTATATTTACACTCAGTGCACTGAAATTATTTCCAAAATGTTTTTGAAGAAATTAAATTATTATCCTTTTAGTAAATTCCTAATTAAGTAATTATTCCATCTCCTGTCTCTAATATGTAATATTAAAGGGGTAATATGACGTTGCTAAAAAGAACATTATGTTGTGTATTTGGTGTAATGCAATGTGTTTATGTGGTTTAAGGTTCAAAAAAACACATTATTTTCCACATAATGTACATTATTGTTTCTCCTCTATGCCCCGCCTTTCAAAGCTCATCGTTCTGAAAGGCGAGGTGTACGCTGATTGGCCAGCTATCCAGTGCGTTGTGATTGGCCGAATACCTCAAGCGTGTGACGGAAATGTTATGCCCCTTACCATACTGTGATGCCGTCTCCCGGCTGGAGCGACGAGACATAACCAATAAAACCCATTACAAACGAGGCATTTGTTGCATCCAGTGGGGACATAATTACTGATTATAATGACTTGTACTGTCTTTTTATGCGTTGCGTATCGCGCCGCGTAAACATAAAACCATGTCTGCTTTTGTGATCGGAGAAACGACAAACAACAAGCGCTACGCTACACTGCTCAAAACTCACGTTTGAATCATCAGTGGAAAATTCTTTAAATATCAGCAAGAGCTTGTAACACTCCAAAGAGAAAGGAAAAATTGAAATCGCATCATATGACCCCTTTAACATTTACAGTAGATCTGCAGCGTTGATCATTAACCAATCACACACGTTTCTGTTGAGCTTATTATCAATGCAATGTCCAATCAGAGGCTTTTTGATTCGTCACCGCGGAGAACGACGGAGATGGTCAGTGCGTGCGCTTCTGTATTAGCTAATTCTCTAATCATTATAAACAACAAAGTGCAGGAATGATTTAAGTAAGAGATTTATTTTGCATTGTAGACAGCTTCCCTGATTATAACTGGAGTTTTTGCGAAAGTACATAACTCAAAGTCATGGATCGCTGTTTGCTCGCTTTCTTTATATATTTAATTCCCACTTTAAATAACCGTTTAGTTTTTCATGCTACTAAATAACCAGCGCGAATTCATTCTGAAGTCTGTTGCCAGAATATGCTTTGTCCTCCACCCAAAACCACCCTCCCCCTCCAAAAAAAACTAAACATCCGGGTTGTCACATTTGATGTCAATATATGCCTTTTATATAACAGACAGATATATATATATATATATATATATAACAGATACACTTTTTATTGCTGTTAACGGAAAACTGGTGAGTGAGGATCAGGGACTTTTATTTTGATAACACGCTGTCACGTTACACAGTTCTGGCTTCAGCGTCGGTGTCAGTACCATGACAACAGCAGGTCGAGTGTGAGAAGCTGAGATGTCTTGAGCTGTCTTGTTTTACCACACATTACTGGAGAAAATATCACTGCATTCAAGGTAGAACAAAACAACTTTATGTATTTAATCTGTACCAATAAGAACAGCGTCACTTTGAACGATACAATAGTGAGAGTAGAGCAGTATGGGCAGCAAGCGCAACGAACAAACAAAGCTGAGTAGATTCAGCAGAACACTCAACATTCTGTCATTCACTGGATAAGTTATATGATTTACTATCGCATTCACAGGAATGTAAAGGCTCTCATATCGTAAAAATCGATGTTAACAGGTTAGTATGGATGCTCTCTGATTTTCTAGAATATTGACTCAAATGTAAGAACCCAGCGTGCTTTTTAAGTAAATCAATACTGCATATCAACTAGATTTTATAATCATAGTTTAATTCAATATTTGCTGTAACGTTATCTGTAGACCCTCTTGTTAAAAAGTCATATTGGTGCTATTTATATTGGACTAATTCTTTATGATTTTATGGCTCTATTAGAGATAACCACCATATATTCTTTAGATAACGCTCTTCGGTATTTTATGTGCTGAAAAGTTTTATATATTATGCCAATGCACAGAAATCTGTCCATTTTATTGGATTGGTCTACTTCCTTGCATTTCCTGTTCTCTGTGTCTCTCTGGTGTGTGGATTAGCTTTGTTAAGCAGTCAGCAGTTAGTTAGGAAAGCTGCTTGGGCTGCAGCCCAGCCAATGAAATCTGCAAGTCATGTGACCTGTCTGTCATGTTCTGCAATCAGTTGTATGTCCGGCAGACCCAGTGGTTCAGTCAGCATCAAAGACCATGTGCACAGAAGTGACCACTTGCAAACAAAGTCAGGGAATGATTTGACCTGGTCTTTCTGGAGGGGTCTTTATGCTTGCATTTTTACTCCAACATAAAATACATGAGTGTAATGAGATCCAGCAGTATTTATTCTGCTGTGGTTGCTCTTCTATTTTAATATCTGTGTATTTGGTCCACCAATATGTACAAACATTAGGTCTAATAATGTATCTCAGCTGCATGTCCTGGTATTTGCCCTTACTGAGCTTTGTGCACATTACTGTAAGTCACTTTGGTAAAAATGCACCTGATGGGAATGAAAAAATATAAGTATATATATAAAAAAAAATAATATTTAGATCCAAATTGTCTATTCTATTCTGTTGTCTGTGTATTACAGGTGCATCTCAATAAATTAGAATGTCGTGGAACGTTAATTTATTTCAGTAATTCAACTTAAATTGTGAAACTCGTGTATTAAATAAATTCAATGCACACAGATTGAAGTAGTTTAAGTCTTTGGTTCTTTTAATTGTGATGATTTTGGCTCACATTTAACAAAAACCCACCAATTCACTATCTCAACAAATTAGAATACTTCATAAGACCAATAAAAAAAACATTTTTAGTGAATTGTTGGCCTTCTGGAAAGTATGTTCATTTACTGTACATGTACTCAATACTTGGTAGGGGCTCCTTTTGCTTTAATTACTGCCTCAATTTGGCGTGGCATGGAGGTGATCAGTTTGTGGCACTGCTGAGGTGGTATGGAAGCCCAGGTTTCTTTCCTGAAGAAAGAAGGCCTTCAGCTCAATGCAAATGAGCCGTCAGCTCATCTGCATTTTTTGGTCTCTTGTTTCTCATTTTCCTCTTGACAATACCCCATAGATTCTCTATGGGGTTCAGGTCTGGTGAGTTTGCTGGCCAGTCAAGCACACCAACACCATGGTCATTTAACCAACTTTTGGTGCTTTTGGCAGTGTGGGCAGGTGCCAAATCCTGCTAGAAAATGAAATCAGCATCTTCAAAAAACTGGTCAGCAGAAGGAAGCATGAAGAGCTCCAAAATTTCTTGGTAAACGGGCGCAGTGACGTTGGTTTTCAAAAAACACAATGCACCAACACCAGCAGATGACATTGCACCCAAATCATCACAGACTGTGGAAACTTAACACTGGACTTCAAGCAACTCGGGCTATGAGCTTCTCCACCCTTCCTCCAGACTCTAGGACCTTGGTTTCCAAATGAAATACAAAACTTGCTCTCATCTGAAAAGACGACTTTGGACCACTGGGCAACAGTCCAGTTCTTCTTCTCCTTAGCCCAGGTAACATGCCTCTGATGTTGTCTGTGGTTCAGGAGTGGCTTAACAAAAGGAACTTCAGTCTGTGTGCATTGAATTTATTTAATACACGAGTTTCACAATTTGAGTTGAATTACTGAAATGAACTTTTCCACGACATTCTAATTTATTGAGATGCACCTGTATATAGATTAGTGGAAATACCTCAATAATAGTTGTAGTAGCTGTTATGCTGAAATCTATCCAAGAGCATGTTGATAAAATGAATTGAATTGAATAAAAGAACCTTAAAGGAATATAAAAAATGAAAATGAATACAAAAATATGAATACTTTCTCACCCTCAGGGCAGGCCATCCAAGATGCAGATGAGTTTGTTTCTTTATCCAAACTGATTTGGAGAAATTTAGCATTACATCACATGCTCACCAATGGATCCTCTGCAGTGAATGGGTGCCATCAGAATGAGAGTTCAGTTTCAGTTAAAATACATCTTCTGGCTAAAGTCCTTCATCCATATGTACAGATCAAGCACCATTTACAAGTGAAAACAGTCCAAAACAGTTGTAATCTGTTGGTAGATTTTGATGTGAGAGGACAACAGGGGATGCACCTTCACTACTGGGGGAAGCATTGTTATGGAATATAGACTCGTATTTTGACCAAAAGCAATTGTTTAAATGAAAAATGCCTTAATGATGGATTTGTTTCTTAAAAACATGCTGCTTTTCACTTCACAAGATGTTAATTGATTAAATAGAGTCATGTAGATTACTTGTAGATTATTGTGATGTTTTTTTATCAGTTGTATGTACTCTCATTCTGACGGCACCCATTCACTGCAGAGGATCCATTGGTGAGCAAGTGATATGATGCTACATTTTTCCAAGCCATAAGCCAAGTTATATTCAGTGAAAAGTAAAGCTGAGCTGAAAACGTAAATCTAAGATGAAGCTCATATCATAACTGTCAATTCTGGTGGTGGAAGTTACAAATGACTAAAACTGTACAGGATCTAAAACTGCAGCTCATGCTTGAAAGCCTATGAATGTCACTGAAGCAGTTCTGCAAGAAAGAAAGAGTGGGCTGAAATTCTTCCACAGTGTGAAAAACCCATAAATGCCTACAGGAAACTGTTTAGATGTGATTATTGATGCTGATGGGGTATATCCAGTTATTAATTCAGTCACTGTTTCACACAGGGGCACTGGCTGTAATTACTTCGTTAATGCTTTTTTTTTGCTTCTGGTTCACTTTTATGCATGCATAAGTTTTGGTTTAAGATCTGATGACATGCAATGTAAAAATGTGCAAAAATGCTGAAAATCAGACATGGGTGAAATTTTTTTCACAGCACTCAAGGATTTGAAGGAGGCAGATGGTACTAATACAGTAAGTAAATTTCACCTCTCTTGTCATCTCTTTACAGGATGTCTTTATTTAAGGCTCGTGATTGGTGGGCATCAGTGCTGGGTGAGGGTGAGGAGTTTGACCAGGGGTGTCTGTGTGTTGGGGATGTGGATAACAGTGGAAGTGGATATGGTGAGTTAAATTACTTATTACATGGCTCATTAAATATTGCAGTAGTAGTACAACCCCAATTCCAAAAAAGTTGGGACATTTTTTAAAATGCTATAAAAATCAAGAATCTGTCATTTGTTCATTCTCTTTAAACTTTATTTAATTGACAAACGTACAAAGACAAGATTTCCAATGTTTGCACTGACCAACTTAAATGTATTTTGTAAATATAAACAAATAAGTTGGGACAGAGACATGTTTAACACTCTGTCACATCAACTGTCCTTTTAATTACAATGTTTAATCATTTGAGAATTGAGGATACTAATTGTTAAAGTTAAAGTGTTACAATTTTTGTCCAGTCTTGCTTGATACAAGACTACAGCTGCTCATCAGTCCGTAGTCGTTATTGTCTGATTCTCCTTTTCATGATGGGCCATACATTTTCAATAGGAGACAGATCTGCTGGCCAGTCAGTCACATCCACATGTGTCTACAGATCACTGTTGTAGCACATGCTGAATGAGACCTGGCATTGTCTTGATCTAATAACCATGGACTTCCCATGAAAGATGTCTTGATGGCAGTATAAGTCTCTGTACAATCCCAATATATGCCTCCATGTCCAATGGTACATTCGCACATATGCCAATCACTGATGCCGTTTGCTCTGCTGCACCCCCATACCATGACAGGCATTTGCTTTTGCATCTGTCACTGGTGAAAGTCTGGATAGTAGTGGTTCAACGGATCACAAATCTCACGGTTCGGATCACATTACGGTTTTTGACCCACGGATCGGATAATTTTTCGGCTCAGCAAGAAAAGAAAAATATTTAAATTTAACTTGCTTTCCATTTATTACTTAAAGATCAATCATTTGACAGCACTAGTAGTATTACAATATAAGATATATCTTTTAATGTGATAAAAAAATAATAAGAATAATAAGTGCAAGGGGCGTGGTCAGATTTTCCAGTTTTTTTTCTCTCTAGCTGATCACATGCCTGAACACCGCAGCATGACGGTTTCGTATGCAATGCCATCTGAGGGCTCAGAGGTCATGCACATTCACCTGAGGTTTCCTGCCTTGCCCTACATGTACTGAGATTTCTCTGGATTCCCTGAATCTTTTCACAATATTATGTATGGTAGTTGGTGAAAGACCTAAATTCTTTGCAATTTTGCATTGAGAAATGTGATTTTTGATTTGTTTCCGGTTTGGGGAAGTTCCACACAAAAAGACTGAAACAAATCCTTTCAAATCATAAGGCCGAATTACAAATAATCCTTATTCGTCAGTTTGACTGAATGAGGTGTACATTTTCCTTTATGTTCTGTTTTCAGATATTAGGAGAATAAGGCAACACTTGGTATATTAATGTGATGTGATATAACAAGAATATCCAAGGAAGAGCTCTTTTCAATCGGCTGCATTCTTTTTTTCTTTTCTTTTGTATTCCATTGTAACAGTATGAAAAACGACAACATGTACTGCGTGTTTGTGATCTGCTCTCCCTATTTTATTTATGAGATATCTCATGAACAATTCTCTGCAATGCACAAAGGATCTTTCGTTTCCAGGTTTGTTTTCATACAGATACTAACTGTAATTGTTGAGCTTTAGGGGTTATCCATGTATGTTGAAAGTAATTTGTTAATGCTTTACACTTTTACATTTCCTTATAAATGATCGATGGTTGAAGGGTGAGTAGAATAACGTCACCTCATTGTATCCAGTTTTTGAACGTGCTTATTATTGCGTTTATAGAGCAAACCTTTTGCTGATTGTGTACAGCTTAATGGAAGTTACTCCCATAATTTGCGCAAAGCGTCATGGGGTGTAAGAAAAAGAAGGATATTTTTCTTTCAATTTAAATACATTGACATTTCATTTTGTATATTGTAGTGTCAACAACAGTGTTGGGCAAGTTACTTCCAAAATATAATACATTATATATTACTTATTACTTCCTTTTAAAAGTAATTAGTTACATTACAATATAACTGTCTCTGAATTGTAATGCGTTACACTACTTTTAAGTTACTTGTGAGTTACTTTCACTTTCAAGCACAAACCGCAATTAGCCTACATTCAGAAATAATAGCGGTAAATAAAGCGGAATGTTATAGGCCCTAATGAACAAGCATTAAACACAATAGCAAGCCTATAGACTATTTTAGTTCTCCTCACTCCACAACAAATCCTTCAAATTTAACTGTATTCAGAACAAAACAAGAATGAAAAATATAAGTTGCTAAACAAGCCAAAACGAATTAAGTTAAAGCGAAACTGAAAGCAAACGCCTTTGTTCTCACGCAGCCTACCTCTATCATTCGGCACGAATCCAAATGTTTTCATATTCGCGATGTATTTGAATGCTAAACTATTAGCCTATTTAGTATGTAAACCATGCTTTTGTAGGCTACTTAACGCGCTTTCCGAAAAAAAAAAAAAGAAAAGAAAATATCACACTCTTCACATGAACAAATATGTGCTTGGCCCGAGCTCAGGCTGAACGACCCTTCGAAACTGCAATGTGTTTACGTTTATTTTAGGATGCGCTTGTCATCTCGGTTTCCTTTCCGTGAACTTTTGCAGAGCGCAGCGCCACAAAAATGAACCAAACTCAGCAGCATATTTTACAATATTGTCTTTTTTCTTTCGTTTTGTTAATCGGTTAATTATTTGAGTCAAATATATTTCGCGTTAGACTTGTGCCGGTATTCGGTAATGCGATATATCACGGTAATGAATATGCACGATATTGTTATCGTGGGCACTTCTAAATACCGTGAATAATTATATATTACAAATTATTCCGAATTTTGAATGAATTTTAAGAATACTTTTCCCATCAACTGGTCAAAATGCACAACACCGCCGTATGCTGCATGAAAGATGCGTGCGCACTCTGATGTAAACAAGCGCGAGCGAGAGGCACATGGCGGAACATGTGAGAGACGCACTGAATGAAAGCGCACTTTCACTCTCTGACAGCAGATGGCGCTAAACTGCAGAAATAATAATAATAATAATAATAATAATCTTTTATATGTAGACTATGATTTAATAAAAACAAATTGTTATTTTTTATTTAAACTTAATTTCTGTTGCTTGTCTGCGCTCATCCGCCGCATTTTCTCTTCTCCGACCCCGCAGTAGGCTATGCCCATCTCACATATGTAGAATCCGTCTCAGTCATCTCAACCATCGAATTACAGCAACAGGAAATAGACAAAGTATTTTACCCGCGGAATTTATTGTCTGGTGCTGTTTTGCGGTGTTGGTAAATTCACCACTTAATTTTGAGTTAAAATATGTTGTTGTAACGTGCGTTACTGAGATTGTAACGAGTAATAATATTACCCAAATTTTATTAGTAATGCGTTATATTACTGCGTTACAGCAAAAAGTAATATACTACTGTAATATCGTTACTTTTGTAATGCGTTACTCCCAACACTGGTCAACAATCGGACCCATATTTGAAGAGTGAGCATGTACGTAATTACTTAAGGGACCCTGGAGTAGGATTGTAAGCTGTTTACATTCTCTCTTTCTCTCTCCTGTTCTCTAATCCAGATAAGATTGTAGTGGGCAGTTTTATGGGGATGTTACGCATCTTCTCACCACACCCTGCTAAACCAGATGAGCAGACGGAAGCTGATGCCCAGCTGCTGGAGGTTCAATTGCCTGATCCCATCATTCAAGTGGAGATGGGCGAGTTTGTCTCGTAAGTCTCACGTGCTGTTTCTACCATTATGAGTGACTGTTCAGATTCACATTACAACAGTCATCACTACCAACTCAACCACATCCCTACAAAATCATAATCAGCACATTTATCAATCTGAAATTAATCAATCAATCAAAATGATAAAAGTTAGATAAAGTATTTGTTTATTTCATGTCCCATATTTTTCTGAAATAAAAAAATCTAATTAAAGCGTATCAAGTACTGGAAACCAACATTTCTTCTCTCTAAATTCTGTTACCTATTCTGGTGTTTTTTGAGGTTTATTTAATTTTTTAATGATGTTTATTACTAGAAATTAAATAAACCATACAAACCAGGTGTTTATTCAGAAAATTAACATTTTACTTTAGGGTTATCAACTCCTTTCACTGATACTTCACTGATATTTTTTGCAGCTTCAAGTCCTATTTTGTACCCTACTCAAGGGAAGTGCAGCACAGGGCTTCTGTAGTCTTTATTATGTGCCTAATTCTAAACACACATATTCCAAATTATGATGCAACTACATTAATTATGATTAGTACTCTATGTTCTCTTATACTGTCTTCATACTATGTCTGCAGCAAATGCAGTCAGATTTTCAAACTTGCGAAAGAAACTGTCACTTCTGATTCCTATAATGGAATCTTATAATGGCTCCTTTAAGAAAAATAATTGTTTTTATCAATGGTAAATAATTGATATGTTCATAAAAAATACAATTAAATGTCATACACAAATAACAGAATTATCTCCTGTGTTATTTGTTAGATAGTTTGATGACTTTTGCCAGTTTTAAGTATACTTTTAATATGATAGAACTAACATCCTGAAACACTGCAGGATGCTTTGGTGCTGTATGTATCAAAGTACCATGCTATTAATGCCTGATATAGTAGCTTATACCATGGTACTTCTAGAATGTTGAGATATGCAAGTATACTGTATGCATTTGTATCAGCCTAGATTATTTGCTTTTTTAATTTCTTATAATCATTGCTAATTTGTTTTGTTTCTAAAAGATCTGCCACATGAAAGAGCAGTTGAAATACCTTGGTATTCATTGAGTTCTTGGCATACTGGGACTTTTTCCTTTCATTTGTGCATATGTTATTCCTAATCTCTCCAATAGAGAACCTTACTTTTGTTTGGCAACACACAGAAAATCCAAAGCTAAAACATTGAGGCTTTACTCTCTGCTCAGACTGGCTGAAACAATCACCAATATGTAAACAAGTGGAGGACCAGATTTTTTTTTTCAACTTCAGTCATTGAACATAATGCACATGAAGTGATGATCACAGCAGAGAGGTCTGATAAAAGACATTTATTGTTCTATTGATTCCTGGCCACTGTCTAGTTGAAGTTCTAATGCTTAACCTGAAGCAGCATCTCACAATATTTAGAAATGTATCATGTTTGAATAGAAGAATTGTTCTTCTCTGTAGGTCTGATCTATAGCTGGTTTAAGGCAGATCATATTTGATACATCAGGCTTTTATGTCTCCTACAGTATGATAGGAGAATATGGAGCTCATAATCAAGAAGGAAAACAGTATAGCAGACTACTTACATAAAATGTATAAATATCAGTTGTCACTCTGTATCTCCCAATAATATGTCTTTGTAAGATGATATTTAAATGCTTACACTCTAAAAAATGCTTCATCCCAGCTTTGGGTCAAATATGGACTATAGGGCTGTCAAAAAAAATTCGAATGTCGAATTTAAAATAAAAATCCACATTCGAATGCAAAAACATTGCATTGGAATTTTAGGTGTGCGTTGAGGAGGCAGCTTTATCAGTGGCGCACGAGATGCGATGTAAGTGTCATTGCATTTGAATGTTTTTGTTAACCTATCCAGTTGAAGTCACTAGATGCGGCGCTGCTGCGTTGTTAATTACAAATATTGCGGGAAAAGAGAACATCAATGCGGAGAAGACCTTGTTTACGTCAAAACTGAAACCAAGCCATTCACACAGAACACATATTTCGTGCATTTTCTAGAAGGACATCTATCACCGTTGCTCTCGTGTCTCGCACAAAAGAGCCGCATGTTTAGAAAGTCATATAAAATTAATGCAAGTTCAACTTTGAAAAAACACATCTCGAGACTTTTCACAGATAGGCAAGTTATCTTATGATTTGATTAAATGTGCGTTAGTAATATTTTGCTCGACGCCCTCTTGTGGCCTCAGGAGTGAAGCCAAAAGTTTTTCTTCACCCTAACTGAAATTATGCATTTTAAATTCGAATATAATTCGAATTTTGATAATATTTAAGTAAAAAATTTGAATTTAGTTTTTCAGCCATTTTGACAGCCCTAATGGACTAACCCAACTTTTGGGTTAAAAATGTAATAAAACAATTTAACCCAACAGCTGGGTTAGTCCATATTTGACCCAAAGTTGGGTTGAAACAACCCATAATTTTTTTGTGATTTTATGATCAAAGCTCTGTAGTTTTCATGATGGGGGCAAAACATATAATGCAGCGCAATATAATGAACAAAGAAAATGTTCCTCTAAAGCCTGATTTTTAACATTTTAACATTATTTTTCTAAAAAAATATATATGGATCAATCAAGTAAACCTAAGTTGCCTCAGTCTGGTGGACCCTGGACCACAAAACCAGTCATAAGGGTCAATTTTTCGAAATGGAGATTTATACATCATCTGAAAGCTGAATAAATAAGCTTTCCATTGATGTATGGTTTGTTAGGATAGGACAATATTTGTTCGATATACAACTATTTGAAAATCTGGAATCTGAGGGTGCAAAAAAATCAAAATATTGATAAAATTGCCTTTAAAGTTGTACAAATGAAGTAATTAGCAATGCATATTACTAATCAAAAGTTAAGTTTTAATATATTTACAGTAGGAAATTTACAAAATATCTTCATGGAACATGATCTTTACTTAATATCCTAATGATATTTGGCATAAAAGAAAAATCAATTATTTTGACCCATACAATGTATTTTTGGCTATTGCTACAAATATACCCCAGCGACTTAAGACTGGTTTTGTGCTCCAGGGTCACATATATTAACAATGAAAAAGTTATTCTTAAATTTACTTTATACAAATCAGTAAAGATTTCACAGCAAAAAGACACATGGATCTGAAGGTGGACGTTTTTAGTATACTACTAAAACGCCTTTTTATAAACTATCAATCAGACAACAGAAGGCATATAGAAGATGCCAAAGATGCCAGGAGCAAAGTTTTGATAATGTGGATCATTTAGTGGCCTTAGAATTTTGTGTATCAAATATGTCAAATATGGCATTATAGGGTTAATGTTGGAATTCCTTTGTTACTGCATGTACATCTTTAAAAAGAGCTGAGTCAGGCATTTTTGTGAGAGATTTAAGGAAAAAAAAAACCTCCCTTTTCTCCCTTTGTCTTGTATTGTAGTTGTTCAGAGTTGCTCCATCTGGCAGTGCTTCACCCCAGGAAGCTGTCTGTCTATGCTGTGTCAGGTTGGTTTTCCACAGATTCAGACCTACCTTATGTTGTACTTCCTCTCAAATACTGCCGTAAAACTTTGCATATTAGGAGTTGACTTTTTTTTTTTTTTTTGTTCTGAAAAGCCGTTACCTCTTAAACAGAACTGTACACATGCAGTGGTCATTTTTGTATTTTCTTTATTGACTTTACACTGATATTATAATTGTAGACCAGGGGTTCCCAAAGTGGGTTCTGGGGTCAGCAGCCCATAGCCATGGAGTACGTAAAATAATTTTAGGGCCCTATGATTTCCACAATTTGGACAGAATTGCAGAATCCATTCATAAAAATTGAATTTATTTTACGTTCATGACAACCTGTCAAGATAGAAGTTCAGTTTAACTTAAAAAGTCAATCTGTCTTATTTTTATCTGGTCTTCAGATTTTGTGCACCAAATGTATGTGCTCTTGCAGATGTGGTGTTTGCTGGTGTTGGTTTTCTCAGGTACTGCTGGGAATGTTGAACATGGTGACCAGTATCAGCTGCGACTGGTGTATGAACACAGCTTACAGAGAACAGCTTGCAACATGACATGTGGTCCCTTTGGGGGTGTCACAGGTAATTGATATTATCGGCATTCCACACATAATACATCTCATTCTAAAACTGAGAACATTCTCTTCTCTTTGCCTTTTCTGTCTTTATCTTGTGATACATAATTGATCGTTAGTGTGATGGAATAGATGGAATAGTTTGATAGTTTAGATTTTTATAATGTAGTAGTAAATGTTGAAATTAACATTAGCTAAGATTAAGGGGCATTTTTTTATTGTTAATTCATGTTAATGTAATAACACATGTTAAAACAAATAGAACGTTACTCATACATTCATTCTTATTCACATCATTCTCAAAATAGTTTAAACTTAATGCTCTATTTATTCTCAATGAACATCTGCCTGTAAATTCGGGGTTTGTTTGTGTGAAGACAGCTGCTTAAAGTTGACCCACTATAAATAAAATAGTAGCACATGTTCGTTTAATAGGATTTTAGACTTACAGTAGTACCTTTTTTTGGGCAGTTCTCTTATCAACCACATAAGGGCAGCACAGTCTCTATGATGGAGTTCATCAACCATTAGTCACATTTCATCTGCACGTGACAGAGCCAAGAGAGTATAAAAGGGAGAAGACGCAAGATAAATATTGTAATAATAAATTGTATTTCCTAAAATGCTGGCTGCAGATATTGGTCTTTTCCCATTCAAGTAGATAGCAGCAATACTTGTAAAAAAAAAAAAATGTAGGGATGACAGTGTGAACTGACCTATATTAAAGGGACTTTTGTACAGAGCTAATCATTTAACCATCTTTATGTATAACATACTGTAGTATGACTTCTAATACAGATGAGAGTGAATAAATATAACAGTAAAGGGGCTAGTTGCATGAAAGGTTTAGACTGGTCTTACAAGTTAGTCATCCAATTTTTTCTTCAAGACTGGTTATCAATTTTTTTTTTAATTCAGTTACATAAAAGCATAGATTAGTCTAAGTTAAATCCAAAAATGATGGATTTCTTATTGGCTAACTGCTAGTACTTAAGGCACTGTCTTAATATAGAGGCTAAGTTTATGCAGCTGGCCCCAGAACAACCCAGAAAACATTTGACAAGCACAGTAGACAAATAAGCACTGATTTTATGTTAGCTTGGGCCGTGGCTATTCTCTTAGATGTTTATTTCTTATTATTAAAAGGACAGATCTGACTCTAAATTCTGATTTGATGAGCTGCTTCGAAGCCATTGCAGAATGCAGACAAATAAAATTAGCGCACAATCTGCATTAATTCAGTTGCTACATTATTCAGAACCAGAGCAACCTACTCTATATTAGTTAGGAGGTGGAAAAAGTGTTTAGACTTTAGTGATTCAAAATAATAAATGCAACTATTTATGCATATTAGGAGTTGACTTTTTTTTTTTTTTTTGTTCTGAAAAGCCGTTACCTCTTAAACAGAACTGTACACATGCAGTGGTCATTTTTGTATTTTCTTTATTGACTTTACACTGATATTATAATTGTAGACCAGGGGTTCCCAAAGTGGGTTCTGGGGTCAGCAGCCCATAGCCATGGAGTACGTAAAATAATTTTAGGGCCCTATGATTTCCACAATTTGGACAGAATTGCAGAATCCATTCATAAAAATTGAATTTATTTTACGTTCATGACAACCTGTCAAGATAGAAGTTCAGTTTAACTTAAAAAGTCAATCTGTCTTATTTTTATCTGGTCTTCAGATTTTGTGCACCAAATGTATGTGCTCTTGCAGATGTGGTGTTTGCTGGTGTTGGTTTTCTCAGGTACTGCTGGGAATGTTGAACATGGTGACCAGTATCAGCTGCGACTGGTGTATGAACACAGCTTACAGAGAACAGCTTGCAACATGACATGTGGTCCCTTTGGGGGTGTCACAGGTAATTGATATTATCGGCATTCCACACATAATACATCTCATTCTAAAACTGAGAACATTCTCTTCTCTTTGCCTTTTCTGTCTTTATCTTGTGATACATAATTGATCGTTAGTGTGATGGAATGTGTGATATTAGATGGTCCTCTTACATGTTTTATGTCTCACTACACATTATTTTCATTTGACTGAGAGCTTGACTTGGACATTTAAAAACTCTTAATTTCTTCTGAGCCATTCTTTTGTGCATTTACTTGCATATTTTGCAGTTCTGTGTCGAAGATGAATGAAAGGCTTATGGGTTTGGAACGACATGAGGGTAAAATGATGATAGAATTTTCGTTTTTAGCTGAACCTTTAAGAAGGAAATATGATCTTCACAATCTGGCTAAAGCTGTTGAAAATGGAGATCTGAGCTGAGGTGAGACAGCAGAGCCTTTGATTCTCATAATACTCCTCATGACCTGCTGATAGCTTTGGAGGACTGTCAGTGATTTCTGAATACAGTTCCAGACATGTGCGCACACACACGCACACTCCGAACATGCTCTCAAAGCTAAATAATCACTGCTGTGTCTCATTGCTATAAACGTTTCCCCAGACCCACCCAACATTCCTAGAGCAATTCAGTAGAAATTTGGGGTCATTTTGCAAATTCAAAACAGGATTTTCTTGTTCTTTTGAGACAAAACACTTTCCAAGAATAGGGTACTAAATTGACCTAGAAACTCCCATCGAGGAGGTCCATCATCCACTTCAGGGGGTCGAACAAAATATTAAATTAATGGTTTTGTCTTAGGTTTGTTTTATATAAGGTTTTTCAACCTTTACAACCCTTCAGCAAGTCCTTGGACATGTCTATAACATAGAAAACTAGTAAAAATAATTATCTAAAACGAAATAATTACAAAAACAATTATTTGAATATCATTTTAACAGATTATGTCAGAATTAGACACTTTTGTATGATTTTACAGTGCGTTATCTTTCTTGTTGAAAAGGTCAAGGTAAGGGTCATGGGAAATGGACTGCTTGTGTACAAGAAACCTTCAGTGCATTGTTGTTCTGGTGAAGTGAATATTGATGCATTGAACAATCTCCAGTGTCTCTGTGTTTAGATTAATTGGTGCAGTTAACATCGTCTTCTCTTTTAAAACTCAGGTATGAGACACTGGCTGTAGCCACAGATGCAGACACCAGACAAGACTCTGATCAGCAGAGCAAGAGCTCAGGGAAGAGACTGACGGTGCGTTTCCTGCCGATTGAAAGTGCTACTGTTTCCAGTGTGAGTATTTGCCTTTGGATATGACTGTGTGTATGTTTGTCCTCAGGCTGACTGGACACTGGTGTTAGGAGAAGAGGCTCTAGATATCTGTGTTCCCACCCTTTGGGGGTGTCACAGGTAATTGATATTATCGGCATTCCACACATAATACATCTCATTCTAAAACTGAGAACATTCTCTTCTCTTTGCCTTTTCTGTCTTTATCTTGTGATACATAATTGATCGTTAGTGTGATGGAATAGATGGAATAGTTTGATAGTTTAGATTTTTATAATGTAGTAGTAAATGTTGAAATTAACATTAGCTAAGATTAAGGGGCATTTTTTTATTGTTAATTCATGTTAATGTAATAACACATGTTAAAACAAATAGAACGTTACTCATACATTCATTCTTATTCACATCATTCTCAAAATAGTTTAAACTTAATGCTCTATTTATTCTCAATGAACATCTGCCTGTAAATTCGGGGTTTGTTTGTGTGAAGACAGCTGCTTAAAGTTGACCCACTATAAATAAAATAGTAGCACATGTTCGTTTAATAGGATTTTAGACTTACAGTAGTACCTTTTTTTGGGCAGTTCTCTTATCAACCACATGAAGGCAGCACAGTCTCTATGATGGAGTACATCAACCAATAGTCACATTGGATCTGCACATGACAGAGCCTAGATAGTATAAAAGGGAGAAGACACAACAGAAATATGAATAAGAAAAATTATATTTCCTAATACGGCAGCTGTAGATATTGTTCTTTCCCCTATCCTATTACTTGCATTCAAAAAAAAAATCCTAGGGATGACAGTGTGAACTGACCTGGATTAAAGGGACTTTTGTACAGAGCCATCTTTATGTATAGCATAGTTTGACTTCTAATACAGATGGGAGTGAATAAATATCATAACACTACAGAACGACCCAGATTTGACACAAACACAATAGACAAATAAACACTGATAAACGATGTTAGCTTGGCTATTCTCTTTGATGTTTATTTCTTATTATTAAAAGGACAGTTCTGACTCTGAATTCTGATTTGATGAGCTATTAGTGCACATTCTGTATTAATTCACCAAGTCGCTACATCACTTGGAACCATAAACAACCTAGACTATACTAGTTGGAGGAAGAAGTGTTTAGTTTTTTGTTATGATAAATAATAAATGTAACTATTTAACATTGGTGTGTGTGTGTGTGTAATATTGAGGAAATCTGGGCTATGTAAATCTGTTCGTGTTTTTATCTGCACAACAAAGCTGCAAAATACTATTGAGTATGTCCTTCTGTTCTCTTGTCTCAACTGAATATTTCCTGTGCTGTTGTGCAGGTCATCATTTCATCTGTATCCAGTCCATGGATGGGATGCTGATGTTTTTTGAGCAGGAGACTTATGCTTTTGGTCGCTTCCTGCCAGGATTCTTGTTGCCCGGCCCTCTGAGCTACTGCATCCGCACTGACTCCTTCATCACGGTCTCCTCCACCCGGCAGGTGGAGTGCTACAGGTGAGACTAATTCACTCCCTGACCAATTGTCCATATAGTCACTGGCCATATCCGTCCATATGCAGATTCATTCTTATTGAACGTACAGGATATGTGGATATTCTGTACATTTACTTTTTCATTATTCCTTTGGTCATATCTTTAAATATAAATTTTAGAGACACATCATCAAACACATCCTCTGTCTCCACCATGTTTAAAATAAGTGCAGGAGTGTATTAGAAAACAAAATAGGTGAAAAAAATTGTGTTTCAGAAAGCACATGGTAGGTTAGGCGTAACACTTTTTCCAGCATATCCTTAGAGAAATGTTTTTACATCCGAATGAAATTTCCATTGATTGATCGCCACTGTTTATTTTTGCTGTGTTGCTGTTCTCCTTGTGGCAAACGATATGGGTCATGTTTCATTTCCAGACACATTTGGTATCCGTAAGGGAGCGAAGGTAACATAGCACAATAAAAGAGGAAATAGCTTTTGATGATGGTGTCAGATTTATATACTCAAAACGTTCACAATTAAATATTATTAGTTATTAATTATAGTGTTGATATGATAAAGAAAAATCATAAGACTATGTTTTTTTTTTTAATATAATGTAAATTGTGACCCTGGAGCACAAAACCAGTCTTAAGTCGCTGGGGTATATTTGTAGCAATAGCCAAAAATACATTGTATGGGTCAAAATTGATTTTTCTTTTATGCCAAAAATCATTAGGACATTAAGTAACGATCATGTTCCATGAAGATATTTTGTAAATTTCCTACTGTAAATTAGGGGTCGACCGATATGTGTTTTTCAGAGCCGAAGCCGATACAGATTATTACAGATCAAGTAGACCGATAACCGATATTTTGAACCGATATATATGTCTGGTGTAAAAATGAAAATGAATGTCAAAATTAAGAATAACAAGGGCTCTGACAAAAACTGCCTTCTCTGGTGTTGGTTGTGTAGTACTCCCACACTGCACTTCTTACTCTTGTCTTCCTCTGTGCATCCATCTACAATAATGATGCATTGAACAATCTCCAGTGTCTCTGTGTTTAGATTAATTGGTGCAGTTAACATCGTCTTCTCTTTTAAAACTCAGGTATGAGACACTGGCTGTAGCCACAGATGCAGACACCAGACAAGACTCTGATCAGCAGAGCAAGAGCTCAGGGAAGAGACTGACGGTGCGTTTCCTGCCGATTGAAAGTGCTACTGTTTCCAGTGTGAGTATTTGCCTTTGGATATGACTGTGTGTATGTTTGTCCTCAGGCTGACTGGACACTGGTGTTAGGAGAAGAGGCTCTAGATATCTGTGTTCCCAACACATCTTCAGCGATGTCCTCCATCTTTGTGCTGGGGGAGAGAAATTTCTTTTGTCTCAAGGATAATGGTCAGATCCGCTTCATGAAGAAATTGGAGTTCAACCCCAGCTGTTTCTTGCCCTACGGATCAGGTGACCTATACTGCCTTTAACTCTTCATGCTGTGCTGTTTAAAGGGTTAGTTCACCCAAAAATGAAAATTCTGTCATTAATTACTCACCCTCATGTCGTTTCAAACCCGTAAGTCTGACCCTGCATAGACAGCAATACAACTGAAATGTTCCCAAGTCCAGAAACGTAGTAAGGAGATCTGTAAAATAATCCATGTGACATCAGGGGTTCAACCGCAATTTTACGAAGCTACGAGAATACTTTTTGTGGCCAAAAGAAAAAAGAAAAAAAACGACTTTATTCAACAATTCGTCTCCTCCGCATCACCCTGTAGTGCCATTTTGGAGAGTATCAGCTGGACGTAAACAACGTATGCTGTTCTGTGTCAGCTGCGTCATGATGGATCTGTTTCCTAAGTTGTTGTGATTTGATCTGAACAAAAACAGCGTTTCCGTGTGACGCAGCTGACACAGAACAGCATACGCTGTTTACGTCCAGTGGATACTCTCCAAAATGGCGCTACAGGGAGGAGACGAATTGTTGAATAAAGTCGTTTTTTTTTTCTCTTTTGCGCACAAAAACTATTTTTCGCATTTTGTCGCTGCCCATATCAATGAATGACAGTGTTCACATCGGAAGCGTGATGGCTGACCCTTTCTTTCATTTTGGCCACAGAACGGAGATGTGTATATGTGTGTGTTGGTGAGAGGGGTGTTGGTTTGTAGGAAAGTGAGAGATAGACGTCTTCTGGTGGTTTGGAAGTGGATGCAGTCTATCATTTAACTACTGCATTGACTCTCCATGTGAGGTCCAGAGACCACAGACCATCTGAACACACTTCCTCCTTCATACTCAGCTGTCTTCTCTCTGGCTTTGTCTTCAGTTTCTGAGGGTTCCACCAACATCCTGATGTGTAACCATAACAACATGCTGCTGGTGTACCAGGATGTGACGCTGAAGTGGGCGTCCCAGCTGTCCTGTGTGCCTGTGGCTGTACGTGTCGCTAACTTCCCGTAAGTGAGCGCTGCCCAAATGAATCTTTCCTGTCTGTCCTTAATCTCCTTAACATCCATTCTTAGAGTTCTAAGTTAGACTGAATATGAGCTGCTGTGTGTGGTATATGCTATCATTCTCAAGGTTGTGTCTGCGCTATGTCTCTTTAAAGCATTCAGTGTTTGTGGGTTTGCTTAGAGTGGTTCTCATATGTAGAGGTAACAGATACGTCTGTAGAGAGAGTGTTTAACTGCACTGGTCTCTCTGGCCATCCTGCACAGGTCACTCACTCTGCCATTGTCCGTCCTGTCTCTCTTCTACTGGCCTCACATTAAAAGAGCGTCTGTCAGCACCACCTAAATGAGCTGATGTGCTTGTCTTGGTTCACGTCTCTAGCACACACACACACACACACACGCATAACCACTCACACCTTCCCTTTCTCAAACTTTACTATATTAAAGATAAATAATAAAATGCAGCTAACCATACAATCATACATAGATAGAATAGGTTAACAAATGGGCTTATCAAGGCAGGACAAAACACTTCACATCTTTTAGTTAAAGCCCATGTTTTCAATCAAACAAATGGTATTTTGGTGCAAATGCATCTTTTAGTAGAAGCAATCCAAATTAGATGCATGCCAATATGCACCTTTTCCCGAACGAGTCTGCTTTAAATTATGGTTGGCAGTTTGAGGAACACAACAAAGCATTTCAAATAAATTGTAGTTCTACAAATATTCCTTATCCATCAGTTTGACTGAATAAGCCATACATTTCCTGTCAGGCTCTATTTTTATCTGTCAGGAAAATATTGTAATGCCTGATATTTTAATGTAATGTGTCTTGACTTTGGGAGAAAAAAAATCCAGACATAACTATCATATGTGAAATACACCAAAACAACATGACAACATGACAAGTAGCATTAAAAAGTGCAAAGTTACAATGTTGTCTGTAGAGAAGTACAATCTAATACAGTCAGAAAGCAACAGTACAAAATATGGAAAGAAACCAATCGCACCATGCTATTAAAAATCCTAAAAATATTGATGTCATAATGGGCACAATGTGTCTACAGTACAATAAATGGCTGTTAGCCTTCAGTCTTATTTATCAAAGCATTTTAATAAAAAATAAAAAATATATCACTTAACCAACCCTGGCCGATCATGAAGTAAGAGACCTTCAGTAGTCTAAGCAGAAAATATTTTTTGTTTAAAGACAGACATGCATTGAAATGTGTTCTGTTTTCAGGGAGCTGAAGGGGTTGGTGGTGACTCTGAGCTCTGACGGTCATCTCCAGTGTTCCTACATGGGCACTGACCCCTCCTTCTTCACTGCACCTAAAGTGGATGCCCGAGAGGTCAACTATGATGAGGTTGACACAGAGATGAAAATGCTGCAAAAGGTTATTCGTGAGGCTACCAAAACCCAAGGTATGATGCACAGAATTTAGACAAAATAAATGCACGCTGTGTGTGTTAATAGATGTTAAAGGGGTCATATGATTTCAATATGCGATTTCAATTTTTCCTTGCTCTTTGAAGTGTTACAAGCTCTTGGTGCATAAAGAAGATCTGTAAAGTTACAACGACTAAAGTCTCAAATCCAAAGAGATATTCTTTATAAAAGTTAAGAGTCAACCACGCCTACCTAAAATGGCTCGTTCTAACACGCCCCCAAATACACAAAATAATGTTCTTTTTAGCAACATCATATGACCCCTTTAACAGTAATATAACTTGCAGTACATTACAGATTATAAAAAATGTGACTTATATTTCTGAAAATACATGAATAAAATCAAGTCTTGTTCTACATCTAAATGTTCTGTCGCACAAACATTTGTGTGTGATCTTTCTCCAGACATTCTCCCGAGGGCAGAGACTGAGGAAGAGTTCACTCTGACGGCCATAGTCTCATCTCACCTGGATGAAGTCTCGGTACAAATGCGAACACGTTTATCTCATTCATATAATTCTGCTGTTTTTATATGAAGCTCATTATAATGACTGCAGGCGATGGCAAACCCTACCTTATCCCTAAATAAAAACTTACATTATTTTTACATTTATTATTATTTATGAATCATTTTTATACACATTCACACAGGTTTAGCTATTGAGACAAAGACACACTGTAGACTTAAGTAATTTTTTTTTCTAAAGCTACCGCTAAAAGAAAACTTCCCTGAATGTCACTAAAGAAAGCTTTTGTCATATTTAGCTTAGTTTTGAAGATAGATAGTTTATTATATACTTATACGTTAGTTAAGGTTACACACACACACACACACACACACACACACTTTGTATCACTTTGTTTGATACAAAATTCTTATGAAATTCACTTTAATGACTACAGACTAACCTTAAACCATAACTCAAGAAAATGCTTTATCAATCATTTTTACCTTTGAGGATGTCCACAACAGAAGGTTTTGTCAGATTTTGTGTACTTGTGGATACTGTTTTGTCTCACACACACTTTTCTGTCTCATGAGCACAGTGGGTGATTGTGTTGTGATGATCTCTCTCACAGTGTGCTGTCATACCTGAGATGAATGGCATGCCTGTCCCCTCTGTCACAGTCAAAGTGGGTGCAGCACATTTAACGCTGTTGTTTATTAAGAATATTAAATTTTCTTGTGTAATAGGAGCATGTAGTGCTTTTTAATGCTGATGTGATACAGTATGTCCTGAATGTGTGCTTTATTCTCAGGTTAAAATAAAGAACCGTGGTGCGGTGCACAGCCCAAAGATGACGGTGTGTGTTCAGCCTCCTCTGGGAGTCACGCAGGACCAGTTTGTGTTGGACTCCATAGGTATGACTGTCTTTCCTTTTTTGGCATACACTTGTCTGAATATTTGTTGAGAAAGATAGAGCTAGTGTTAGAGGACCAAGTTATTATTATTTTCTTAATAATTAAAAAGAAAACAAGTAGATAGAATAGAAAAAGAATAGAGAACTCAAGTGTTAGAGGGTCAAGTCTTTTTTAATAAATAAAAAGAAAACAAGTAGATTGAATAGAAATAGAATAGAGAGTTCTAGTGATAGAGGGTCAAGTGTAGATGGGAGAGATGTGTCTTTTAGACGTTTCTTCAAAATGGCTAAAGACTTAGCTGCTCGGATTGAGTTGGGCAGGTCATTCCACCAGCAGGGAACAGTTAAGGTAAAAGTCTGAAAGTGATGTTGTGCCTCTTTGGGATGGCACTACAAAGCGCCGTTCACTTGCAGAACGCAAGCTTCTGAGAGGCACATAAGTCTGAAGTAGTGAATTTAGGTAAAGGGGTGTGGAGCCAGTGGTGGTTTTATAGGCAAACATCAATGCCTTGAATTTTATGTGAGCAGCTATTGGTAGCCAGTGCAAATTGATGAACATAGGTGTGACGTGCGCTCTTTTCAGTTCGTTAAAGACTAATCTTGTTGCTGCATTCTGGAGTAGTTGCAGAGGTTTGATAGAACTGGCTGGAAGATCTGCCAAGAGAGCATTACAGCCTGGACAGAACAAGAGCTTGAACAAGAAGTTGTGTAGCATGTTACGATAGAAAGGGCCTGATCTTCCTAATGTTGTATAAGGCAAATCTGCAGGACCGGGCAGTTTTTCGCAATGTGGTCTAAGAAATTCAGCTGATAATCAATCACAACTCCAAGGTTCCTGGCTGTCCTGGAAGGTGTTATGGTTGATGTGCCTAGCTGGGTGGAGAAATTGTGATGAAGTGTTGGGTTGGTTGAAACCGCAAGCAGTTCTGTCTTGGCAAATTTTAATTGATGGTGATGGTTCTCCATCCAGCAAGAAATGTCTGTTAGACATGCTGAGATGCGAGCAGCTGTCATCGGATCGTCAGAATGGAATGATATCAGACAAACCAGAGACATTCTTTGCATTTTGCATGAATATGTTGGCTTTATCCAAGTTTAAATCATGGTTTTTGTGGAGTCTTTGATCAAGAGGTGAATGAACAGTCCTTTGACATTGTCTAGGATGCATTGTGATAGATTACATTACAAATCTCTCCAAATTTTGTAAACAGATTTGTCTTTTGTGTTTTAGTGAGTGGTTATTAACAGCAGTGGGATTAATCCAACATAGGCTGATTGGAAACATTTTTGCATCTCTACCTACATTTTTGCAAAACATACCTAGTGTATGCATACAATTTACTGCAGTTTCCAGCTGAAATAAGTATTAGTGGCAGTAAAACTTACACAAATTATGATTACATGGGCAGATTATTGATTAATGTTAACTTATTTTTGCATGGTTGTTTGAGAAATACTATGTAATAACTTTAAAACACTTTTACACTAGTGCACAATTTGCAAACTATAAATTTTGTCAAACCTTTGTCAAATCATTTCTGCCTCTTCTTGTATAACAGCTGCTCTTGACTTGCTAAATGGACATTTAAACAAATATCACCCTGCAGTGTGGGATTTTACACCATCATCTACCTGAGGCCTTTTCCAGGGTGGGTCCATGATCACTGTCACTGCAGGACCGAAGAATTATAATTTTTTTGTTTGTGGCCCAAAGAAAATGTCAGAGAAATTCAACTTGATGTTGGCCAACCAGAAGCCAGTGTTACATCACAGTAATGTTGAAGAGAAATGTGAAACCCTGACAAGCTCTTTACTTAGACATTCTACTGAAAGACGTCTGTCTCATGTTTCACCAGACTTCCATATGTCATCCAGTCCAGCAACACAACTGCATGAGCCATTACAGCTTGGCAATGTGTAATGTATACACAATAGAGAAGAATCACTTGTTTCACTCATTCTCTGCTCACTGCTTTGCTATGGTTTGACCCATTTAACTTACATTACACACACACTCAAGTCATACTTTGACAAACAAAGGAAGCTATCAGAACACATTGTGTCTGAAATAGGCCATATTCTTTATCTGAAGCTTTAAGGGAAGTGTACCTTTACATTTTGTTATAGACTCAGAGAGTGTAGCTAATTAAGTCAGTCATTTGTTGTAATCCACCTGCAGTAACTTGACATTTAGTGTCTTACAGTGGTGTTTTTTTTTCGCCCCTTCTGGGGGACGTAGTTTATGGGGCTTGCAACTACAGCCTCTGAATTACCAGCCCTACTACTAAACCACATCGCAAGAAAATCAATAGCATGTGTTTTGGGCATTTAATGATCAGGGCTTGTAAAATGTATGACTTTGTTAATTGTATTCTGTGAGATAAGATACAAATATTGTGGGTAAATATTCAACAAAAGCTTCTGTTGAGTAGTCCTTGCTTACAACAGTAAAGTGTGTTAGGGTTTAGGTCCTCCCAAATAATTTCCACTCTTCTGGGAAAGCTTTATATCAGATGTTGCAACATAGTTGCCGGGATTGTGCCCATTCAGGCATGAGAATTGGTGAGGTCAGGCCCTGATGTTGGCGATGGGTCCTGGTTCACGGTAGGCATTCCTTTTCATCTCAAAGGAATCTTGTTGCTACTAAATCCAATTTGTCAAAATTAAATAGCTTTTCACTCTCCATTGATAATTCTATAAACTATTCATCTTCTCAGGTTAAGAGTCTGGGTGTCGTCCTTGATAGTACTTTGTCTTTTGAAAAGCATGTGAACAATATTACTCGGTCTGCATATTTCCACCTACGGAATATCTTCGTCCATTCCTCACCTCCAATTCCACAGCCATTCTTGTACATGCTCTTGTCACCTCACGCATTGATTATTGTAACTCTCTTCTGTTTGGGTTAGCCTACCTCACAAACTCCTTCATAAACTTCAGTTGGTCCAGAACTCAGCTGTCCGTATAATTACTAGAACCTCCTCCATCGAGCATATCTCTCCTGTTCTCTATCATTTACACTGGCTTCCTGTTAAATATCGAGTAGAGTACAAGATTCGGCTTCTCACTTTTAAAGCTCTTCACAATCTTGCACCCTCGTATCTCTCCGACTTGCTTCATATCTACACCTCGAAGTGTACTTTTGGATCTTCTTCATCTGTTTCCCTTGGTGTACCCTCTGTTCGTTTAGTCATTATGGGGTCCAGGGTGTTTAGCTGTGCTGCTCCTCATCTCTGAAATTCTCTTCCACGATCTATACGAGAAAGTGATTGTCTGACTAATTTTAAATCATGTCTTAAAACGTATTTATTTAGATTAGCTTTCTCTGATCAATTTTAAATGATCTAATGTTAAACAGCTGTTGTTTTGTTGTATTGTTGTCTTGATTTTTATGACTGTCACTCAACTGTATGGAGTCCTTTGAGTGTTTTGAAAGGTGCCTTTAAATAAAATGTATTATTATTATTATTATTATTATTAAAGATGTTCAGTGGCCTTCAAGTCTGGCCTTTGTGCGGACTAGTCAAGTTCTTCCATAGTGAATAATTTTTATGGAGATCTCATTTTATGCACAGGGGTGCTATCATAATAAGGCAAAAATGGGCCCTCCACAAACTGTTGTTATTTTATGCTACAGCATCAAGCATTAGGTTTGTATTCACTGAAATTAAGGGGCCTAGCCAAAGCTGTTAATTAGAAGGAGTGTTCACATACTGGCCAAGTGGTAAATAACAACATGTTTGACGAGAATGAATACAATGATTTGTTCTCATATACTGTAAACTTGAATAAGTTAGCAAGACTAAAAAAAAAGTGAGGTGAAACCATGAGCCTTTGATAGCCTAGTGTGACATGTTCACTGATGTCAAATTAATGGTCTTTACCATGAATCTTAGCCTCAGAAGATCTGGCAGTGTCAGAAAATTTGAGTCGCTTTCCTACAGTGTGGCAGCTCTTACGGCTTGTGCACTGAAGAGCCAACAGGACTGATGAATTTTGAGCACACAGTTTTCTATGAGAGTATGCACACCAACTGTTAAAAATCATGCCACACTGCTGAGTAGTAGGGCTGGGTAAAAAATATTGATATCTCGATATTAATGGATTCTCATTTTTAAGGAACGATATCGATTCTTAAATCCCAAGAATCGATTAGTCTAGCCTGTTTTTAATGGACGGAACATTGAAGGGTACTTCCCATCCAATAAATCGCAATAAGCATTGTGCGTTGGTACTTTTAATATGAAACAAAGTCTCAGATTTCAAATTCTGTCCATTGTATTGCAGTACTTAAACAATAAATGCCGTTTTGGCGCTGTTTAATGCGGAGTGACAGATCGCTGTAGCGCCTCAGTTCAACAGATGCGGCAGCGTGAGGCGCACATGAACTGATCATCTCCTCCACATTAATACCAGTTGCAGCACAAAATAAACATGACTAAACATCCGAAGGTAAGTTAAAAGAAAGAATACAACTTTACAATCCGTATCCTGTCTCATGTAATCGCTCAATCAGTGAATGAGAATCGAATCGAATCGTGAAATTTGTGTCAAAACCCAGCCCTACTGAGTAGCACTCACATAGTTCTCCAATTAATTACTTGATATTGGTCCCAAATTGTTGTTAATGTATGTATTGACTTGCATGAGAATGATGTTTGCATGGATAATATCCCACAATCCTATATGTGCTGTTTGCCTGTTAAGTCCATTTCTACTTTGATACTAGCAGTATTTGTTGAATGTATTTAAAATTGACTTGGATTTGTTCTAAAATCAGACCAAAAGCAAACGTAAAAACAAGTTGACTTACAGGTGCATCTCAATAAATTAGAATGTCGTGGAAAAGTTCATTTATTTCAGTAATTCAACTCAAATTGTGAAACTTGTGTATTAAATAAATTCAATGCACACAGACTGAAGTAGTTTAAGTCTTTGGTTCTTTTAATTGTGATGATTTTGGCTCACACCTGTACATGCATTAAGTTGGCCTTTACGGGT